GACATTAAAATAGAAAACAAACAAACCTCTATGGATCACAACCCAACATCATCTATGCAGTTGCTGTAAGATGAGCCCCTTCAGCAGGGAGGCAATCAAAATGCACGGTGGTCGCAATAATGGACTCCAGCACGTCAGTGATAGTGAAGACGGTGCAGGACTGAGCACTGCACATGGTGCTGTCATGAGTTAGCGCCAACTGAGCAGCAACTATCAACTGCAGCAATCATGAACGAAGCTGTGTTGCTTAAGTGTCAGGTTATTGATTATTCCGAAACAGACGCTCAGTGCTGACGGTGCTTTACAGGTCACCTGGCTGAAACCCTTGTTAACAGTAGAGGAAACTGAAGTCAAAAGACAAGAAGCAACTGACTCAAGGCAGAGCCAAGACCAGAACCTAATAAGACTGGTGACAGGAGACCTGGCTTTGGTCTCCACTCTACTTTCAGCTGACTCATTCATGCCCACGTGGGCCTCTCGGTCACAAGAGTTCATGGCTCCAGGCCTCCAAAAACAGGCCTCTCAGTCAATTCTTCACTCCTTCCACAGTCCTATCAAAGATACCTGGTGTCCCATGTCTGTTGCTCAGGTAACTGTTTCCTCCATAAAACCAAACCAGTTGCACTGTGTCAATTCTGATTCACGGCAACCATATGTAAGGCAAAGGAGCACCGTGGTCCAGAAGAGTTTCAGGGCTGATCTTTTAGCAGTAAATCACCAGCCTGTCTTCTGAGGGACCTCGGGGTAAACTCAAACCCCCAACCCTTCAGTTAGAAGCTGAGGGTGTTAACTGCACCACTAGGACTCTGTTTTCTCCACATAAAATCTGCATTATGGAGACAATGGACTGACATCAATTCCAAGGTTTGGCTGTAGTGACTGATTTGACCATTAGGTGGCATTACCAACAAAGAATCGAGCAAAAGCAGGTGTCTTATGTGAACGTAAAATCGGTGAAGAAAAAGCCCTTCAGAGAATTCACATGCTCTGCTGACACACTGTAGAGGAGCATGCTGATTCTAAGAGCAAATAAACAAAAGATTGGAACAAAATATATCAAAATATAAAGGGCCGATTTCAACAAGAGTGGTATTTTAAGTCATTTTCCTTTCCCTATTTTATTATTTTGCATTTTCTGTACCTTGTACGGTGAAAAACATTTTCACAAAAGTTATTAAAATAGTGACATTGTTTCAATAAAATGCATGCAGGATTCCAGTCCTGGAAAGACATTTACAAAAGCATCCAGAAAGAAGATAATCTAGATTTCTGTCTCATGTTTGTATAATCATGCACATAAACAACAACAACAACAA